CCTTAATGATTCACCTCAGCACTTTTACTTCTCTAAAACAGCTTTCAATCACATGTAAACGTTGTACTTACCTCAGTATTGGTTGGTTATCGTATGCCTACAACCACGGGACGAAAACGAAACGAAGTCGATTTTCCCGCGGAACCTGGAGGACGACTGTACAATTCAATAACTATACGGCCTGGTTCAGAAAATGAGCGTATTTATATATGTATATATATATATATATATATATCAAATATTTAACTGTTGAAACATTATTAACTTGTAGACAATCTACGATTTGATATTATATCATACTTGATCGTGCCTGTAAAAATGGCATGCATTTTCATTTAAATTTATACGTTCATATGAAAATATACACTATTATTATTATCCAGACACCTTTATTTCTGTAAACGAATTCATCAAATTTCCTGCTCCTATCTCCGGAAATTATTTGTCTGCAGTCTTCTAGTGTTTTGATTCCTGCGGCTTCAAATTTCTTGCACTACCTGACCATGCACACCGTGTCGCATTTACAATTCCCCCACACAAAACACTGCACTTGGTGTTAACAAGCGTTTCTGACGTATACTCAACCCACGAGAGTGCTCCTTTAAATTCGGACTGGTGCATTTTTTATATTTTGCCAATAGTGCAAAGCATACAACATAATGGAAAGTTCAAGGAGGATCTTCACACAACAGTATTACGTGACTTAGAAGTACTTTTGTAGTGAACTAAACTCCCAAGTTCGTTTATGAGCGAAATAAAAAGGGCGAAACGAATACAAACATGTATGTATGTAGGAGGATATTCAGTCCACATAAATCAGTATACACATAAAATGCAGTTATTTGAAAGGTTATAATTATCCCCGAATACTGGAATGTAGACGTGTAGGGTCGTAGGGATGCAACAGTCCTCTTCTCGGGTATACGTATGCCCACTATACGTAAGAGATGCCAACGGCCAAAGGATACTTGCGGAGAGAAAAAAAGATTGGAGCAAAGGATCCTAATGTGGATGTACTGACCAGGTACTAGGCAGAGTTAGTTGGTAGATGTAGAAAGTGAGAAGCTGCAGACGAAAGAAGTGTTATCCGTATTGAACGTGGAACTAGGTAGTGTCCTAGTTCAACATCACGTAACAACCATGATTACCTGTGAATTCATTATTTTTACTGTTTTACGGTGAACCTGTAGTGATTGACAATTTACATCTCTGTATTGTTTAAATACTTACTGTTGATTGTTAATATATTTCTTATATGAATTGAATAATAATTCCGCCAAATACTAAGGCCTGAATTCCGCCTTCTCTGTGTTTTGTTTGGATTCTTGTAATTCGGTCATCTCGAAATACTAATACCACGATTACAAAAAATTACAACAAATTGGCGTAGCGATGGAACTAAATAACCTTGGAAAATTTCCTGTAAATGGTTCACCGCGGGAAATTGCTGATTATCTTGAATGCTTCGACGCATGGTGCATTTCAAAGAACGTTCGGGATGACAAAATTCCGGCACTTTTCTTTACTACTATTGGGCTAGATGCATATGGCCTAGTAAAGACTCTGGCGTTTCCAGATAAACCCTCAAGGTTCAAAAACCACGGTCGAATCGTCTGCGTCTGGAAATCCGTTTTTCGCATCGAATTGTGAACCATTGGAACTCCCTACCGGAACATGTCGTATCAGCGCCATCCGTTGATTCATTCAAGGCGAGATTGGACCTCCTGTATGAAATAAATCGAAAGGATTAACACAGGCATATAGCCTACTATCCTAAATAAATTGTAAACTGTAAACTGTCACATGACATGATCCGTGAGCTTATGATACATCACCTTCATGTAACTACTTTTGAGACCAGAGAGAGAGGGCTCAATTCAATAAACTGGTTCGTGCTCCCAATCAGAAGATTACAGACTTTATTCTTCAACTCCAAATACAAGCTTCAAAGTGTAACTTTGGAGATCAGCTCCATACTCAACTATGTGATCGTCTAATTACTGGAATCAATATTCCTATGTTAGAGAAAGAGTTAATTCAGATTCCTTCCCGTACCTTTCAAACTGTTAAAGATTTATGTATTACATATGAAGATGTCAACAGTGAATACTCTGCTCCACTACGTCAGTATCTGATGTCATGCTGTCCAAAGTCGAAAATACAAGTGTTCATGGAAAGCAATCCAAATTGTCGTCCACAGGTAATAGAATGCAGCCAGAGGTCAAAAACATTAAACCGTGTTTATCCTGTGGAAAGTTACATCCACGAAGCACTTGCCGTTTTCGGGGTGCTGTGTCACAAATGTGGTAAAGTTGGACACATCAAGACGGTTTGCAGAAGTTCGAATACTTATGTTACTCCGAATTCTTATAATTCTCCCAATCTGTATAGTAAAATGGGGTCAATGTGTCTTTCATCTTTTCAAAATAGTCAATCTTATCCAATGAAAACCTCCACTACAAGTTCAGCAACTCAAGCATCAACTGTTTTCAAAAATGAGGTAGCTGAGTTACAATGCGAACTGTTGAAAACAGGAAAGAAACTGGATGAGATGAGAGAGCAACTGATTAAAATGGAGGAATTGCTGCATATGCATAGACTGCGTCTGTTGAATGCAGAACATACAAGTACCCATGAAAGTCCTGCAAAACTATTCAAATCTCGAATTCTCTAAAAACATCTGATGTCCGCGACTTCTAATGTACATTATTACAAAGGGAATGACTATAGACCTTCTGTCGGAATCATACTACAAAAAATGGGAAATCGATTGGTGAAGATATTAGGCATCAAAGATCACTCAGTTCATAAGGGACACCTGGAAAAAGTGACAATAAATGAGGTAGGTCGTTCCGATTATGACTGTAATGATTCCGCTACTAATCCTGACTTTGTAGATAATTCAGAAATAGGTCCAGATAATACTGATGAAAACAGAATCACAGAATCAGTTAGAAGGTCGCAGCTACTTGCAAGCAAACCGAGACATCGTTATAAATACGCAGGGAGATATTCGACGTGTGGCGGATGTGGTGATTGACAATTTCTATCGATGTATTGTTTAAATACTTACTGTTGATTGTTAATATATATCTTATATGAACTGAATAATAATTCCGCTAAATACAAATTCCTGAATTCCGCCCTCCCTGTGTTTTGTTTGGATTCTTGTAATTCGGTCATCTCGAAATACTAATACTATGTTTACAAATAATTACGACAGAACCTTTCAGGACAAAGTCGGGGATATTTTCACCGATTTATCGTTACTACCTCACCGAAAGGTTACTAGTTAATCTTTGGTAATAGTCTGTCCTCTGCTGCTTTAGAGACCTGGAAGAGGAGAAATCAGATTCACATAAATCACCTGATAATTATGGTGTCACGATTCGGAAATACATTCAGAAAGCACGCTGTGAACTCACTGTTAGTAAACGAATATCTTCTGATTATTCTTTAGATATGAGTCTGAATTTGAAATTTGCTAAGACGACAAGCTTATGTAATACCACTTAACAAATGAAGGGGCAATTTCCAGATTTTGGCGGAGGGCATACCTTAACATGCCTCAGATCCGCGAATATATCACTGAAACTATGTCTTGATGATGTGTCGTACGTTTCACATTAACAAAAATGTCATATCTTTACACTGGTCTTTGGTGCACCGTTTTTCAGAGGCAGAGTGACTATTGTTTGGAAGGAAACAGTTATTGCATCAGTAGCTAAATCCTCATCACATGGATCAGAGCTAATGCTCAGACCAAACCTCATCACCTCTCTGTTTTAGAAGATTGTGGAAAAGCTTATTCTAAATGTTCCTAAACCACTTAGATCTTTCAGCGAACCATGACACAGCTTCCTTTTAAATGCGACAAAAGTATTTACGATGCTGCTAGTGTGCTGCACCATAATAAAGCTTCCAGCATAGACACAGTTATGAGTACCATCAAACCAAAATCCAACAGAATTGAGACATAGTACCTGTACGAAACAGGGCGACCTAACCTTTTCCTCCAGTAAGAATTCCTGCATACGTGAGAACATTCTCGGCAGCAGCGCTAAGAATGGCATTCCTCGATCGTTCACTGGCTTGTAGAGAACTGGAAAACAAGATGCCGCACCCAATCACTCCTTCCAGCTTACAATGGCTACTCTGCTTCACCAGAGCCCTGAGCTTTGTATTCCTTTACATCCCCAGCGGAACATGGAACTTCAAGCTAGAGGACTGAAGTTTCGGCAGCAGTGATTATTCTTACTGGGTGAGGTTGCTAGTCTTGTGCCTAACCTTCTTTCTTTACCAGTCTTGTTACCAGCTTAGCGAAGTAAAGGAGAGCCCTGTGCACAAAGGGAAATTTCTCTACTAGTCCTAATACCATTTGAATGACCCTCTTACGTTTAAACAAGTAATTTAAAATCTTCCTAGTTTTTCTGTCTTTTCTAAATCCTTAATACTGTCATATATTTTTGTCTATCTGTGTCCTCGTCACAACTTTCTGAATTGTAAATCTCATTTCACAGCTCTATCACTGATTCATTTACTCCTATACATTGACCACTGTGAGCGAATACACTTATGACAGCTGGTCTCGTTTATGAATATCTTCTCTCGAGAAGAAAATTCAGCAGAAATGCGGTTATGCAACCGAAGAAAATGAATTCCCTGAAACGATCTTCTTTGCTGAACTTCTTGTTTTGTTCACCCTGACTCTTGAATGAGACTTACGTGTGCAATTCACTATTGATTATGTAGGACAAGTCTGGTGGCCTATAAAAAGCTGTTTTGACTTGTCCGGGACACTTTATAGTGTATGCAATAGTCTGATGAGACCTAACTAGCACATAACGCGTTACACTTTTGTAGGTGCATAGTTTGAATGATCATCAGAAATTCATCGAGTAACTATAACTGTTTTCCAAATAAAATAGAGAATATACGGAAATATCTTAGTTTAAACTAGTTTGTCTCACATATACAACAAACTCTACATCTTGGTGAATGAATTTGATAGGTTAATATCTTGGTCACTACATGACCTTAGTTGAAGGATTAGCGGAACAAACGAGTCTGATGGTTTGGTTGTTGGTTTTGCAGAAGTATGCATAGACCACATAGCCATCTCGGCGATTCATCGTATGTGCGCCTAGCCCGATCACTGACAGCATGTAATAATTTTGAAACAGTATGCACTCGTAATTACTTATGCTAATTATTTGAAGGTCAAGCGTCTTATTGAGTTTTTTCCTTTATCTGAACCAAATGGAGGCTATCGACTTGACAGTCAAGCTCAGTGTTCTATAATCAGCGTTGGAATATTTTTAGTGGAATCTAATCTGAAGGTATGTGCAAGCTTCAGAATGACCTGCACCATAGTTTGTTGACAGGTTACTTCCTTATTTACTTAATGTCCTGCGGAAATTACACAAAAGTCATGTGACGGACAATATTGTTTGTTCTAACTTTCAAAGTACGGTTCATGTTTGACAGTCTGATTTCTTTTAGAACTTCCACAGGCTGAATGTTTCAGTTTTGCCTTATCTAGTCTACTGAGTCAAATTGCTCTTTTGGATTCAAATCGTTCAGAAGACGTAAGTTTAAATACGTAGTAAATGTATATCTCTGATTTTTTACGGACTGGCTTAACCGTTACATATCACTTGCAATGAGTGTTTGGTAGGCTAGTTATATCGTGCATCTTGTAATCATAATTTTTGTTTGAAAGTATCTAGTTTTTCACACCTAGAGTAAATATTTCTGGGTAATTGTCAAACATTCATGCAGGCAATTCTGTTGGCTAAACAGGTTCTTTTCAATTTCTGGCCCTAAAATTTAGTTACTGCAATAAATACTTGCTACTGGCCGGAATTATAGTTACTTAGCTGCACACAGTTGCATAATTCTGGCTTTAATTTAGGATTATATCTTTCCAAACATTGAGTCACATTGTTAACAGAACCAGCCATAGCGGTAGAGTAGGCAAATTGTTATGGAACGGGATCTTTTATATACAGCGTATTCAATTTTTGTTTTATTTTTTTTTGTATGTTTGTAATACACTATTGTGCATAATTATGATTCGTTAAGTCATGTAACACACTCTGGCAGGATTAGAGTTAATAACTATAGTTTCTTTCTCGCTTACTGAGTACGATCCTGACGTTTGATCTTTCAATAATAGCACAATAAAACAATTCCAACAGTGGTGTGAACACGGGCAGTAATTTTGCTCGAAATATTACCAATAACAAAACTTATCATTGTGTGTAAACTATTAAAATATAATTATACTTTATTTGATCTAATCCACAATGCTCAAACTTTTTACTGATATTAATCAGCTCTTATTTTCTTGTAAGGATCTAGTAAGACAATCATAACATATGAGTTGTCGCCGAGCTGTTCACATGCCGATTTACAGTGTTAGCCATCGTAAGTTTAATAGGACACGGAATATCGTCAAGAGTTAAAGGTTTCGTGATCATTAGTTACAGTGGTGTCTTTTAGTCCTCAATTTTAACAAGTCACGCGTGGACATTTTTAGCATCCATGTAGAATCAGATCTTCGGTTATTTATTCCTAACTAGCATTCTTTGTTCAGTGGTTCTTTTCTGCAATATTTGTCTCCTGTAATTTTTTGGGTTTATTTAGATGACTTATGTTAGATTGATTTGGTCTTAATAACTTTTTACTATAACAATTCTACATTGCCTTCACTCAATAATATAATGATTCCTTAAGAATTTTACTTTTTAATACCTTTTACAGATCATCACTAGCATCCTAGATTGTGTTAGTAACATTATTAATCAAATAAATGAGGTGTTACAACAGCCTATCGACCGTTTTGCCGCTGTCTCAGCATTCCTTCGTCAACCGAGAAATCAAAATACTTCTACCCCTGATGCTGTGAAACTTCAAAGTCAACAGCTTGCAGCTGAACGACTATGTACATTCCTTGCTCCTTCTGTAATTGGTCTTCTAAGAGGCGTTGCTCGTGGTGTTGTTCATGTTATGCCCTATACTACTAATTACAGTGGGAATTCTTCATTGCCTGTAGTATCCCGTCTATTTCAGCCTTTACAGACTAATAAACTAGTAGATAGGGCTAAATTTCAAACTTCGAGCGGTGCTTGCCCTCACAAATTAACAGAAGTTAGTTATGAATTCACACTCAGTGTTTATCCGTCATTTTGTTGTATAATACCTCATTCTCTGTGTCATTCACTACTGACAAACACAGGTGAAAAACACGTGGACAGTGGTTCAGGTAAGAATTTTTCTTTTATATAAATTTATTTGGTGTTATTAGTTGTGTTATCTTACAAAAGCAGAAAAATATTTGAATGGAAGATAAATTCATACTATAAAATAAAGATAAATCCTACTGTTCATAGTGTTTGAAGCTGGATAATTAACGCATGCATTCCTACTATTATTGATATCTTGATTACTATTATTGTTGCTATTATCATTGGCGTTCCATGTAGGCATTCATAAATTTCGCTACTCTGAATACAGACAGGATAACTGTTGTAGTATCAGTCCTCAATTTAAAAACACTGATATTAGTCAATACGAAAATATACTTTAATTGTGAATAAGTCTTAGAACCGTAAGCTGTTCATAGCTTCCTAGATGTGAATGAAATGTCTCTTCCTTTTTGAAAACATTAGAGATTCCATTGGTTTCCTAGTGGAACATAGGCCTTCAACAGTACATCTTTTATTTCCTGCTATCCTCTTTAGCTACGTCAACGATTGCCCATAGTCTATCATCTCCCTATCGCATGATCTCCTCCATATCAACCTCGGACGACTCACTCGTTGTTCCTTATTGGGGTTCCACTCGAGGGCATGGGTTGAGCGCGATATCTTTCGATGGTCTCCTCAGTGTGTGTGTGTGTGTGTGTGGGCCTAATCCACCTCCATTTTGTCCTACATATTTATCGAACGATAGGTTCTTGGTTAGTTTGATCCCATGGTTTCTTGTTGTTAATTAATTCTGGTTGGCCATGTGATCTTCGGTATGGAGCCAGCGAAGACAAATATTACTAAAAGACTGTAGACAGCCTGTTAAAAATGTTTTTCTTGACGCGCAGTGCTAGTTTATGACTCTTATAAAAGTGCTAACTGTGACTTAACATTAGTACTGAAAATTCGAGTGTTGTTCTTTATGCTGAGTGCAGAAGAAACAGTAAAGAAACTACCTTTATTTGTACCTTAAAGGTTATCATTGGCCCAAAATAATTTACTTATAGATGTAGTGAAATTGCTTGTGATGCTGCCATTCCCTTGCATCATAATTTTATTTCCAGAAAAGGGTTTAGTTGTGTTTAACGAGACTCACTCCTCAGACCACTTTTAGCAAAGAAAAATACTGGAATACATATATTTGCGTCGGTAGCATAGTGGTTAGGACTCTCACCGACCATGCACATGGTCCGAGGTTCGGTCCCCTGCAGACGCACACCTGATATCTATGGTCGGCCTGCAAAATTTGGGCTACCGATATCCATGCTGAAAATTCCATACTTGTACCAAAAATGCAGTGTGGAATCAAGCTGTAAATCAAAAATAAAAAAGTAAAAAGTTAGCTTTTTTTCGTACAATCTTATGCTTGTACTGCTACAAACCTCAACCTCATATATCTTAGTGTACGCCTTCTGTAAACAAAATGAAATATCAAAGAAATGCATACGGATTTCGTAATCTGTTAGTTTAACACAGATCCACATTGAGACACTTCGAAAAATGATTTTCTCTGCTCAAATTTTAAATAAACAGCTGTCTCATTCTTTGTATCATCCATATATATTATTGTCTATATTATTTTTATTGCTGTGCTTGACAACTAATGTTGCCATAAAGTCTTTCGCTGTCGCGTGAGCCACATTAAAAGGTATAGAATGCCTAACTGGAATCCTCACAACGTTGAGAACCAATGACTTCAGACTGTTGGTAATGTGGCTCAAACTTGTCGTTGTCTGTGTTGTAGATACATTCACCCATATGATCTTCTAGGTTGTCATTATTCTCCATATCATTAGTTTTATATAGTCTCTTTGTGCGTCGGTGGCACAGCGGTTAGGACTCTCGCTGACCATGCAAATGGTCCGGGACTCGATCATCTGACGCTGCACACCTGATATCAACGGTTGACCTGCAAAATTTGGGCTACTGATATCGCATGCTGAAAAATTCCATACTGGTATCAAAAATACGATGTGGAATCAAGCTATAATCAAAAATAGAAATTTCTGTTTTCTCAATGTTTTTATGTGTTATTATAAAGTGTGTGTGTGTGTGTGTAAAGTTGAACTGATGCGCCTATTTTGTGTAAAAGTACTACACTGACCATTTAGTTGCGCTCAGAATATTTTTTTTACTCCTTTACACCCCAATTGGAACATAGGGCACCCTCAACCTAAAGATTTGAAGTTCAAGTAGCAGTAGTGTTTATTCTTTTAACGGGATGGGGGGGGGTTGCTAGCCTCATGCCCAACCTCCCCTCTTTACAAGTCTTATTAGTGACGTAGCGAGGCAAAGGAGTACATTGGCCGGGGATCGAACCCCGGACCACATCCGTGGTCGATGAGCATTCTACCGCTTTGTCACTGACTCGCACAGTTCAGAATATTAATGACAGGTAATGCAATACTGTCTTATAGTATAGTTGTATCATACCTCTAGTGAGTTGCATGGTAACAATTTTTCTAGGTAAAAATTCTTGTGTATTTTTAAAACCAACTGTCTGTTACTAGTATAAGTACGTCAAATAAAGAGACAACTGTATGTAGGATGTGTTGTCTATTAAAATAAGTAAGCTCTTTAGTTTACGAAGTCATGGCCAGTAGGGTGCAGCAGGTGCAGGTCGGGTGTGAGGACAAATACTTGCCGAAGACATTGGCTAGGGGTCGCGCTATGTCATGAATTGGCAGACGTTAGAATTCATGGGCCAGCCATCGGATCGGATCCCAGTGGCTTAATGGTCTACGAGCTGGCTCGCCTTGTAACCAGAAGGTCCTGGATTCGAACCCCGGTGGGTGCGTGCTGATGAAGAGTCCCAAATTAGGACTGGAGAAACAGCTGTCCAGTACTCCCAGGTTTTCCAATGGTTCTCTAACCATTGTCAGCTCATGATAAAGTCCCGTAACCAACCAAATCCCTACAAAGCAACACTTAAATATTTTTTTTTAGCTACACTAGCTATTATCCATTTACTGAATAAACAACGCATTACTTATTGATCCTGTAATTGTATCATTCATATCTGTTGAATTTCTCTTTTTTCTATATAGTTGAGTCAATTGATACAGAACAATTTGATTTATCTCACAATAATGATAACTGGAGTAGTTCATGGTTCAATCCAAATGGAAGTGAATATTTACTTGGTCAAGTTGCATCGGTGTATGCCTCTCATCTACCACATCGTGCTGTAATGAGTGAAGATCATTTGATTAGTAATAGTGTTTTGACACAATTTTCTGAATGTCTTACGTCTTGTAGTCGTTCTAATAATCTAGCCATCACAACATTTACATCAAGTCATTTAAGATCTCTTGTAAAAATGGTATGTTATTATTTTTTCGTTTTGTTTTGACTTTCGCTGTCTGACATTGTTATACATAACTGAAATATCTCTGTTAGGTGACGAAGCAAGCGGTCAATTTCTGTGTGGTAAATTTTTACAATTTAACACTGATATATTCAGTGGAGACGTGAGCTCATTAACTTGACTTATCTTGCTCTACCTCCTCCAGGCTTGGAAACTGTATGGTGTTATCAGTCCTAACGCCATTAGTCTAATTTGATGGTCTAATTTGGCATGCGATTCACTCCCGCCAAATGTAAGATGATGTTACAGGACTGGACTACGCTGAATCCTAGTTTAGAAATAGGGAGTGAAGTGGTAGAGCACGTTGACCGCTTCACTTATTTGGGAACTGCCATCAGCCAACGCCAGCGGGTTGATTTCTGACGAAATCTCAGCACGGATACAGAGGGACAGTTTCGCATATGTCAGTTTACGCCGTCTCTGGCGTAGACATGATATCCGACTATCGATCAAAGGGCGGGTGTACTGCTCATCAGTCCGCTCCGTTCTCCTCTATGGCTGTGAGACCTGGCCACTGAGAGTGGAAGACATGAAAAGACTAGCTGTCTTTGATCATAGGTGCCTGCGTTCTATCTCCCATGTGAAGTGGTATAATAAGGTGAGCAATATTGAGGTTAGGCATCGGTCGAGTGCTAGTTAGGTGTGAGGGGGAATCAATCGACGAGGCTGTGAAATTACATCAACTGAGATGGTTAGGATATGTGTTACGTATGCCTAGTCATCGCCTTCCTCGACGGGTAATGTTGGCTGACATAGGATCAGACTGGAAAAGAGCTAGCGGAGGTCAAGCCAAAACATCGCACCAGTCAATGAAAACTACAACGGTTAGTTTAAGCCAGCCACGTAGGAAGGTGTAGACTGGCTTCCTGTTTGGGGTCCTCGGGACGGTAAAAACCAATGGCTGGAAACAATTGGTGACATGGCTCAAAATCGTACTCAATGGCGCAGATGCATCCACTCCTTGTGACTTATGATTTTCAATGAAACTGTTTTGTTCTTCGTTATTACTATTACTTTTGTCTTATATCCTTGTCTATTTGTCTCTATTTTGCATTTCTTTAACTTTGTTCTCTTGCTTTGTGTGCTACATGGAGTGTGGCGACTTGAACTGGTGCACATCTGTGCAAAGTTCTATGTCAAAAACAGACAGACAATTTGATGGCCTGGTGTATGAGAAACCCTATTTTCAATTGTTAGTTTGTAGAGGGTGGTCGTGTTATATATGGCGAGTTGACAGAAGTTAGAATTGGAAGAACCTAACATTGGATTATGTCCCATTGGCTAAAGTGTGTACGAGCTTGCCTTGTAAACTGAACGTCCTGGACTCGACCTCTGCCGATGGGGTCACGGGCGTGTGCTGCTGCTGATGAGTCGCAAAGTAGGCCACAGCAGCTGTCCAGTACCCTCTGGTTCTCCGAATTCAGTTCGTGATTCTAAGTGATACTAAGTCGAATGTTAAATACTTTGGATTGGTAAGAAAATTAAGATAATCCTGGTACCACTCAGCTTTTGCTTTTACACTCTCCTAACTCTTGTATTCCACGTATCCCTAATTATTGCTCCCTATTAATCTCTCTAGGGCTATTCAATGAAGGCTTTGTAGCATTGAGAAGAAGAAGGATACTAAAAGCTGTCGATAGGGCGAGTGGTGTGTGTGTCACTAAGCCAACTCATTAATACTGTTGTGGAAAGACACTTGATCTCCTGCAAGAAATTGACGAATATTTCTATCTTGTCAGAGACTGTGAAACCCCGCCCCTCGTTATACGCAACTCTCCCCTTTGCATCTTATCAGACAGAACTAGAATCAATTCACTATTTCTACTATTTATTACTACTATTACTATTGTTATTAAACCGATCGCTTTTCTGTCTTTCTTTCTTTCTTTGTAAAAATCCATAAAGGCTTATCAGTTGATGAATGAACGATTTACCAAACGTTTGGACTCATTAGCGCTTAGTTTTTGGCCTGTAAGTTGATATACATAAATATTTGTATCTACTATGTTGTGTTCTTATCACTTCCACGCATATTGTCTTTCCAACCTCCAACCTCTATCTCTGTTGTTGTCACTTAATTTTTTAATATTACTCTTATTATAATTATTAGGATAGATTTGATAATTGATATATGCATGCATATGTATATATACATATATCTATTGTTTATTTATTTCCTTAAAATTCATAGTATCGTCCAAAAACTGGCCGTTATCCCTATCGATCATTTGCGCATTGTTTAAGGTTATGCTGTCTTCTATTGATACGAGATATTTTTCGTAATCCTAAACAAGGTGAGTAGTTTAAAAGTTATTGTGATTTTGTTTATGTTTGTTTTTTAAAAACGCCTTTAATTCAGATATATATAATGAATTGTTATTTGTCGTATTGTTACCACTATTATTATTGTTCTTTTGGGTTCCGAGGGGAATATAGGGAGGAGGGCTTTAACAGCACACCTCCACTTTGTTCTCTTTTTCTGTAATCATCTTTAGCTACCCTCAGGATTACCCATAGTCTATCATCTGTTCACACTATCTCCATCATATCGCCCTCGAACATACACCCAACTTGTGGTCCTCCAATCAGGTTACACTCGAGTGGTGACATGCATTGCGCGCGATGTCTTTACTAACTTTTTACTTTACTTCGGCTATCTCCTACGGGAGGATGAGCCGGCTTCATGAACAGAGTTCATGAAGTTTCATGGGAATTAGGTACGAGTGATGTCCCCAGCATCGCTCGGCCTTTTGTTTGAGAGTGCAGCTCTAGCCTTTACACAACCAAGTGTGACCTACAAGGCAGTAGGAGTGGAGTAGGGAGTCCACTATCCATTGGCAGCCAGCCGGTGACCGGAGTCCGGTTCATACGCCTTTTTGAATGGGGCCAGGCATCCAGGGCATCCAATAAACCCTTTGTCCATACGTCTGCGGGTGAGCTCCGGTGAGCTTCATACGCCAGTCGTTGAAGGTTTAGAATCAGGGTTTAGCCATCTCCCCTAGACTGTCATCCAATGGACAGTCAACCCGGTGAAGAGCGCCGGGCATCCGCTTTTGCCCTCTCACTTCGGTGAAAAACACCTCCGCCACGTGAAGGCAGTGAGTAGGACTTCCTCAGGAGAGGCTATGTAAGACGCCCGGTCATATGGGAGCATTTCAAGAGGTGTACGGAGGGGTACTAGGTACTAGGTAAACAGGGGAAATCAATCGACGAAGTCGTGAAGTTACAAAGACTGAGATGGTTAGGACATGTGTTACGTATGCCTGGTCATCGCCTCCCTCGACGAGCAATGTTAGCGGATATAGGGTCAGGCTGGAAAAAAGCTAGCGGCGGTCAAACAAAAATTCGGCCTCACCAGTCAATGAAATCCACAACAGTTGGTCTAAGCCACGTAGAAAGGTGTAGACTTCCAGGCTGGGGTCCTCGGGACGGTAAAAATCTATGGTTGGAAACAATTGGTGACATGGCTCAAAATCGTTCTCAGTGGCTGGGGCAGATGCATCCACTCCTTGTGACTTATGATCTTCAATGAAACTGTTTTGTATTTCTTTATTACTCCTTTGTCTCACATCTCTGCTCACTGTTTCTATTATGATTTTCTTGTACTTTCTCCTCTTGCTTCGCGTGCTACACGGAATGTGGCGACTTGAACTTCCGCACATTTGTGCAAAGTTCTATGTCAAAAACAGACAGACAGACAGACAGTACGGAGGGGTGGCCAACCCACCCGATGTCATTCGATGGTCTCCTCCTTGTCTGTGTGTGCCCAACCCACCTCCATTTTCTTCTACATAATTGTTGAGCAATAGGTTCTTAGTTATAGTTTGTTCTCATAGTTTCTTGCTGCTATTTCTTTCTGTCCGGTTATGTAGGTAGGTAGCTGTTGTTAAATGTCTTCAATAACCTATTGGAAATTCTTTTTCTTGACGTGCAGTACAAGTTTCTGACTCATATAAAAGTGCTGACTGACTTCATATTTGAGTTGAAAATCCGAATTTAGTTCCAAACTGATTTCAGATTGATGAAGGTGTATCTTGCCTTTCCGGTTTTGACCGACTGGCTTTGACATCTTCACATCCATTCCGACTACCTGTGGTTGAAACGATGCTTCCTAGATAAGTGAAGCCAGGAAGTAACCTCTGTCAAATCTCTCCCCTTGATAGTGATTCGTGCTGGTTGTTGTTGTTGTTACTGTTGAATGATTATCTTCATCACCTCCGTTTCCACCTTCTCTATGTTCACTTGAATTCCTGTCTTCACTACCAGCTTATCCTGCCAGTTTGTTCGTTCTCGTCTGTAAGTCTTCGGGTTTGTGTAACATCTAGATCTTATACATTCTTATTATCGGTCCAGTGTATTCTTGTCTTCTCACTTCCCACAGTATGCCTCATGATCCAGTTCATCATAATTAAGAATATCATCGTGGATGGTGATAGGCAGCCAGCCACCCAGCCTTGTCTCTTACTCCTGTCTTCACTTCAGTGGCTTTGCTGAGCTCTCCTTTGTGGATCACCGGACGGAATGAGGTTGATAAAGATTTAGACACTGCATAGTGATGAAGTAGTTTTCGAATTATACTTTGCAGTCAACACTATCGAAGCCTTTTTCAAAGCCAATGGAATTGATGAATTGTCAGTTATCTGTCACCAGCATCATTGGTATACTATACATCATTTATGGGTAGTAATTTTTATTTCAGCAGCTTTAGGGGTAGAATCTGAGGATGTTGAATAGTTAGAAGACAGATACGTGGAACGGATTTTCCATGTATCTTTTTACTTCACATTCCCAGTGGAACATAGGGACTCGAGCTAGTGGCTTAAAGTTTCTGTAGCAGTGTTTAATTTCACAGGATGGGGTTGCTAGCCAGCCTCATGCCCAACCTTTCCTCTTTACCAGCATTATTTCTGGCTTAGCGAGGTAAAGGAGTGCGTCGGTGGCCGGGGATCGAACCCCGGACCATGTGCATGGTCGGCGAGCGTCCTTACCGCTGTGCCATCGACTCACATCAACAGGCTTTGAGCTACACATATTATGTGTGTGACAACTTATGATACTGTACGGCGTGTTAATCTTTAGTTGATTAGTCTGGTGAGGGCACGTGCTGTGTATGCTGAGCTATTGCCTTCCTCGACGAGCAGTATTAGCTGACAAAACGTTGGGTTGTAATAGAGTTGCAAGTAACCAAAATGAAACCTAACATCAGTCCATGCAGTTGGTTTGAGCCACAGAAACAGGTGTAGGCTGCCTGGTTTTGATCGTGGGGACTCTGAGAACCAGATGGCTCGGACACTGTCGGTGATATTGTAACAGTAGAAGACAAGGGTCAGGCAACATATCGTTTATTTACGAAATCAACAGATATTTATAGATTTTCATATACATTATCATAGATTATTGTTAGCAGAAAAGCACAGTCTTCTGAGTGGTTGTTTCTCACTGAAAGTTAATCTTTCATCTCTTTGTGACTGTTTCTTGAATGTCAGATCATCTATATGCTAAGTGTATCTGCCTACGCAAAATCTGCTGTGGTTGGTTGTTGAATAAGTCTTTGTTCTTATTTTTCTCACGACGTAAATTACTGTCTACCAATTTGGCTAGCAGCCAGCTGTCACTACAATATGACTGAAAATCGTTGTCAGTGGCGTAGATGCATTCGCTGAACCCTGGTGTTTTTTTCCGTGTTACTGTTCTTTCTCCTGAACATTCTGGCTTGTTATAGTTCTTCTGAAACTTGTTTTCACTTTTGTTTATCTTTGCGTGCTACATGGAATGTGGCAACTTGAACTGGTGTATTTTTGTCCAAAGTTGTATGATGAAATTCAGTTAGTCTAAACAAAATGGTGCGAAAGTTCAAGAACTATTTCCGGTCGAAGGTAAAGAGGATGATGATCAGAAGAGCTTCCTGTGCTTTTGAAAGTGTGTGGGCGGTAGTTACTTCTCGGATGCCCACACCGTGGAAGTTGATTTTTTCTTGGGGTACTTGAAACAGAAAGAGAATTATCGTTGTGTGACCTCAGAGTCTAGGGGATAACTGCTTGGGGCCGATCACACACTGCCTGTATGAACTGGCTTCTTGGATTGTTTCCCTATTAGTAAATTATCTCCGGTTACAGACCACCGTAGAGGAAGTCTTGATGTACAATTTTCGGGGTCGACCTTTTCTTCCAACCTCTTCTCTCTCCATAGTGGAGAGACAGCATAGCTGGCTAGCATGCTGATCATCTTAGGGGAACACCTTACTGCTGTTACATCCCTATTTCCCAGCAGTACGACTTTTCACACAGAGCCCCAGCATGCCAGCAACTGCTTTTAGTTTAATCGCTATCCTAACAATCTTCCTGGCATAGTAGGAACTGCAGGAACAATAGTTCCAGCCAGTGCAGCTTGTTAGGTCATTGCAATATGTAAGCTCGAGCGTTACGTCAAGGTAGCAGCTATCGGTCAGGAGTCGAAAGTAAAATTATGATGAGTCACAAGATAAAAATTATGTAATACAAATGGGGATTTAAAGAAAAAACAATAATAATAAAACAATAAATAATAACAAAAGTAAACAGTAAGTTTAGGCAAGAATCTTACCTCGATAATCATTATTAAGAGACCTAACTGTTTGTAGTGGCCATCATAAAGGTAAAGGTTGAACGTATTTCCTTTGAATACTGCGTAGCGTTGGCTTGAATTTTTCGATCACTAATGCTTCAGCTATGCCCAGATGTCTTTAGAGAGCTTTGATTGGATCTTGTAGTGAACTTTGAAGGATTTTTCAGATGGAGTTAAGTGCTCCGAGTGCTTATCAGATGTTCTGTTACCGAGCTCTATAAGCCCACCTACATTCTTCGTTTGCTAGCCAGGTTGGATAGTGTTCCTGAGTGCGTTTTTTACAAGCGCGCGCCTGGTACAGCCAATGTACTCAGTGTCCACAAGGGCAAGTGAACTGGTATATGTATGTTGGTGTGGCCCAATGCGACAGTATATGTTTTATTTGCTGGCCGAATAGTCTCTTACACGAAAATGTTAGTCGTTTGGCCAGCAGCGAAGGATGTTGTATTGGGAGATTTTGAAAACCGTTATATATATATACATCACGAATGTGCAGCCTAGTTAGTGACTTCGTTGAAAAGAATTTCTTCTCTGCAACCATCATTTTGTTTTTTCCTATGGTCTAAATGTATGAATTCCGAGCGATTATTTGGCATATCCCCTTTCTTTGAAGTGGCGCCACCTGCTTCATACGGTGGGTATTACGGTGTTTCAATAAACAGGCCAAAATATACCAGGTTGATTTCATGGA